GGCCTATGAATCTACTTTCAAAACATTTACCTTTTTAGTTCAGTTCGAGTTCAGTTCTAGTTCAGTTCTAGTTCAGTTCTAGTTCAGTTCTAGTTCAGTTCTAGTTCAGTTTCTAGTTCAGTTCTAGTTCAGTTCTAGTTTAGTTCTAGTTCAGTTCTAGTTCTAGTTCAAGTTCAGTACTAGTTCAGTTCTAGTTCAGTTCTAGTTTAGTTCTAGTTTAGTTCTAGTTCTAGTTCAAGTTCAGTACTAGTTCAGTTCTAGTTTAGTTCTAGTTCAGTTCTAGTTCAGTTCTAGTTCAGTTCTAGTTCAGGTCTAGTTCAGTTCTAGTTCAGTTCTAGTTTCAGTTCTAGTTCAGTTCTAGTTCAGTTCTAGTTCAGTTCTAGTTCAGTTCTAGTTCAGTTCTAGTTCAGTTCTAGTTCAGTTCTAGTTCAGTTCTAGTTCAGTTCTAGTTCAGTTCTAGTTCAGTTCTAGTTCAGTTCTAGTTCAGTTCTAGTTCAGTTCTAGTTCAGTTCTATTTCAGTCTACTTCAGTTCTGGTATTTCTAGTCAGTTCTAGTTCAGTTCTAGTTCAGTTCTAGTTCAGTTCTAGTTCAGTTCTAGTTCAGTTCTAGTTCAGTTTCTAGTTCAGTTCTAGTTCAGTCTAGTTCAGTTCTAGTTCAGTTCTAGTTCAGTTCTAGTTCAGTTCTAGTTCAGTTCTAGTTCAGTTCTAGTTCAGTTCTAGTTCAGTTCTAGTTCAGTTCTAGTTCAGTTCTAGTTCAGTTCTAGTTCAGTTCTAGTTCAGTTCTAGTTCAGTTCTAGTTCAGTTCTAGTTCAGTTCTAGTTCAGTTCTAGTTCAGTTCTAGTTCAGTTCTAGTTCAGTTCTAGTTCAGTTCTAGTTCAGTTCTAGTTCAGTTCTAGTTCAGTTCTAGTTCAGTTCTAGTTCAGTTCTAGTTCAGTTCTAGTTCAGTTCTAGTTCAGTTCTAGTTCAGTTCTAGTTCAGTTCTAGTTCAGTTCTAGTTCAGTTCTAGTTCAGTTCTAGTTCAGTTCTAGTTCAGTTCTAGTTCAGTTCTAGTTCAGTTCTAGTTTCTAGTTCTAGTTCAGTTCTAGTTCAGTTCTAGTTCAGTTCTAGTTCGGTTCTAGTTCAGTTCTAGTTCAGTTCTAGTTCAGTTCTAGTTCAGTTCTAGTTCAGTTTCTAGTTCAGTTCTAGTTCAGTTCTAGTTCAGTTCTAGTTCAGTTCTAGTTCAGTTCTAGTTCAGTTCTAGTTCAGTTCTAGTTCAGTTCTAGTTCAGTTTTAGTTCAGTTCTAGTTCAGTTCTAGTCAGTTCTAATTCAGATCTAATTCAGTTCTAGTTCAGTCCTAGGTTTGTGAGGCATATTATATTTGCTTTTTATCGAATAGGAGTAAAAGTAGTTTATAAAGATACAAAATATCTGAATAATTCGTAATGGGAACAGTAATAACTAAAATAACTTTCAATAAGTCTTAAGAAATAAAGTGAGAATAAAATCGTAATTTATCCTATAGCCTTTGGGATCCTCTATCCCTAATAATAATTAAGTGCTATTCATAAAATGTCCTTCTCAATTTTCTTAAACATATACTTAAAGTAAAACTTGCTTACCATTAATGCGCCTACATTATAAACAGATAAATAAATAACCACTTGCGTGTGCCTTGGTGTAGGGCATTTATGATTCTAAACTCGTAAATGTAAAACCACAAATGGTATTTATTATGTGGCTTCTCTAAGAACCTTAAATAAATTATTAAAACCCACAAAAAAATCGTCTAAAATTTAGTTCTGCTGTATAGTTTTTTTCTCATTTGCGCTTTCATTTTAATCACAGACACACAAGTGTATTGCGGTTTTTTTCCGAAGGATTTACTCAGTTTTGCTTTTAGTTGGTATGTATGATAGTACTTTCGGGTAGACATGACATACATACACATAAACTTAAAACATATTTATGTTATGAGGGTGTTATATTGTATACATATTTTCATATTTCTTGTTAGTTTGGTTTTGGTGCTTTTTTTATTATTGTTGGTTGTGTGGTGGCCATTGTAACGTTTTTATAATCAAAATCCATAATTTGTACTCCAAACTGTTACGTATGTATATATGTTACTTGTGTAACTAAATGTGTGTGTGTGTTACCCACTACACGGATATAACATTACATGGCATTTAATTATACTTGTACTTTTACTTGTTTTTGTTCTTTTGCTAACTTTTTTGTGTTTTGTTTTAGTACTTTGTACGGTTTGTGATTTTTCTTCTTTTTTCCCCGTCTTTTCGTGTTTTAGTGAAAGTATGTTTGAGTGTCATTGTGTGTGGTTCATTGAGAAGTTAAGTCTCCAAAATGTCGAAAGGGGGAAGAAGCAATGTTTTTACCCCTCATTTCTATTTCTAGTTGTTGCTTAGAATTATTTGATCTTTATTACGGTTTGACACTTGTTTATATTTTTTTGGCCACAATATACTATATAGACACTTACTTAGATATTCTATATATACATATGTATGTATAAGTTAGACGACATACTCACATAATTTTTATTTTTTGCAATTAATATAATTGTTTTTCGTTCTTGTGTGTGTATATCGTCTGTATTTTGTAGTGTTTTTGTATTATGTAGTACTTTGTGGTATATACGTCTACTCCTGAACAAGTTTATACCATGAGATATGCCTTTTAAAGGGCCTTCTATATAAGCCAAAAGTATGAAATATTAGTCTGACTTTATAACCTCTAGAAGAGATAATTGAAATCATAAAGGAAAAGATAATATCTAAAAAATTACTCTTACAATTGCTTGCTCCTTTTAAAAAACTTTGATCGTGCCAATATGGTAAGGTTTGTGTTCCCAAGGAAACAATTTGGAATATGATTCAAGTATAAAAAGTGTGGCTGCCTAATGCGAATGATCGCTTCAACTGATCATGCAATATTTAGAATAACATTCAAGAGTGAATGATCGCGCCAATTGGTCATGTAATTCTCATGATCCAAGATGCCTTTCAAAGCTGACTGAATATGTGTGAAAGTTTCATTAAATGTCGTATTTTATTTGTGTATTATTGCTAATACTCGTCAGATGTTGGTGATGATATATTCAATACATAATAAAGGGTTCCACTTCAATCATCGATCTATCATTACTGATGCTCCACCAAAAGCTAACTTATAAGGACGAAATCGGTTGATGATCATTGCTGTTGTTAAGCAAAGGATCAGCTATCAATAATTTTGCGATCTCTCCTGCTATAAAAAGGCAAACGCTTGACGTCAATAGGGTGGACATCATAGTTAGTGAGTTAGTTAGTTAGTTAGTTAGTTAGGTAGTTAGTTAGTAGTTAGTTAGTTAGTAGTTAGTTAGTTAGTTAGTTAGTTAGTTAGTTAGTTAGTTAGTTAGTTAGTTAGTTAGTTAGTTAGTTAGTTAGTTAGTTAGTTAGTTAGTTAGTTAGTTAGTTAGTTAGTTAGTTAGTTAGTTAGTTAGTTAGTTAGTTAGTTAGTTAGTTAGTTAGTTAGTTAGTTAGTTAGTTAGTTAGTTAGTTAGTTAGTTAGTTAGTTAGTTAGTTAGTTAGTTAGTTAGTTAGTTAGTTAGTTAGTTAGTTAGTTAGTTAGTTAGTTAGTTAGTTAGTTAGTTAGTTAGTTAGTAGTAGTTAGTTAGTTAGTTAGTTAGTTAGTTAGTAGTTAGTTAGTTAGTTAGTTAGGATTTTAAAAATCCCGTATTGTGAAGGCCTTGTAAATACTTCCGTATGATTGAAACATGCGAGTGTATGTTTGTGTTTGTTGGTACTTCGAGACGTATGCAAACATGGTATGCATGTCGATTATTCGACGTTTTCCAAAAACCGGTTTTCGAATAGTTAACATTTGAAAAAACCGGTTGACAAGTAAAAGTATTCAAAACCGAATTTTAAAAAGTAAAAAAACTGGGTTATTCGATATTCGAAAATCAACATTTAGAAAAACTCGTCACTGGTAAAGCAGAAAAAAATCGGTTTTAAAACCGGTTGAAAACCTGAGTCGATCACCCTAGCACGTACATATAAGTTCTTTGATGTATTAACATGTTTTCATAAAATATTTCCATTTATATAAATTAACAATTTAATAAGAACACAACTAAAAACAGTTTCAGTTGCAAGAACTAAGATTACAGCCCATCGCTGTAATCTTAGTTCTTGTTTTTGTTGCAAATTTAATTGATCATTTATTTTGTGTTCCAAAATTTAGTACCATGGCCATGGCCAATTCTTTGGCAACATATTCATTCCTTTACTCAACATTTTGTCGGCCACCTCCTTTATATTGAAATAACCCTGTAGTTAAGGGGTTTAAGCTTTTTTGAATCTATATTTTATCATGACATTCCTGTAGGGAAGTATAACTTACCAACAGTAGTACCTAAAGATTAATTGTACTATTTACACAAATATTTTTAACTCAAAAACTGGTGATAATTTAAACGAAAATCAAATTTTAAAATTTTTCATACATAATCCTTAGAATACCTTCCCCCCTTTAGTACGTTAAGCATAATATTGAACTATTAGTGTTCTTTTATACTTCCAAGTCTTTTTTCTCTAGTTGTTCGTGATTTAGTTAATTTATTTTTGGAAGTAGTTTGCCGGATATTGTTCAATTCAGTGTTAATATTACCACCATTGGCATCATGCGACTTTTTAGTGTAATACAAAGATTTTATGAATATTTTTTTATATATCTAATCGATTTTACGAAGGAGTCAATATTCAACATAACATCGTTATAAATAAGTAGACAATGTTGTAATGTAAATGTGCATTAAGGATTGTTAAGTTGAGGTGTCTATAAAAATAGTTAACCCTTTGGGATGTTTGTTTAGGAAAATACATATATTTTATTTTTAGTACTAAAACTAAAATTATGCTATAAAATTTGACTCGTTTTAAGCATTAATATTATAACCCTAACTGTTGAGAAAAATTTCAATTTTATTTAAAAAACAATTCTTTGTCCTTATTCTTTATAGTTCGTGGAGAAAAATGCTGCTAACACTAGTATTACTTTTGGCCATTGGACGTTCACAATCGGTTGAATTAACAGGACAAGGAATTAAAGGTAATTGTATAATACTTACATGATATTAGAATAAGTATACAAATTACTAAAATAATAAATAAACATCGAAATTGATAATGAAAATCCATTAGTCTTTCCTACTTGCCAACACTTTATATTTGTAGTACAAGGAAAAATTAATAACAAACAAATCTACAACATACCCTTAGGCATTTACCAAAAAATGGCAAGTAAGGTGCAAAAAAGATAAACTAATCGATCAACAAAATGTTTACATTAAAAAATATAAACCATCAAAATTGATTTTTATATGAAAAAACTAAAATAGGCTCTAATTCCTTAAATAGCGCTTTAATCGAGAAAATAAAGAAAATCTGTGATCACTTCAATTTTCCATTAAAAATCGATTTTTATATGAAAAAACTAAAATTGGCTCTAGTTCCTTAAATAACGCTTTAATCGAGAAAATAAAGAAAATCTGTGATCACTTCAATTTTCCATCAAAAAATCGATTTTTATATGAAAAACTAAAATCGGCTCTAGTTCCTTAAACAACGCTTAAATCGAGAAAATAAAGAAAATCTGTGATCACTTCAATTTTCCATCAAAAATCGATTTTTATATGAAAAAACTAAAATCGGCTGTAGTTCCCTAAATAACGCTTAAATCGAGAAAATAAAGAAAATCTCTGATCACTTCAATTTTCCACTAAACATCGACTTTTATCTGAAAAAACTAAAATCGGCTCTAGTTCCTTAAATAACGCTTAAATCGAGAAAATAAAGAAAATCTGTGATCACTTCAATTTTCCATCAAAAAATCGATTTTTATATGAAAAAACTAAAATCGGATCTAGCTCCTTAAATAACGCTTAAATCGAGAAAATAAGAAATTCTGTGATCACTTCAATGTGTAAAGGTGCAAAAAAGATAAACTAATCGATCAACAAAATGTTTACATTAAAAAATATAAACCATCAAAAATTGATTTTTATATGAAAAAACTAAAATAGGCTCTAATTCCTTAAATAGCGCTTTAATCGAGAAATAAAGAAAATCTGTGATCACTTCAATTTCCATTAAAAATCGATTTTATATGAAAAAAACTAAAATTGGCTCTAGTTCCTTAAATAACGCTTTAATCGAGAAAATAAAGAAAATCTGTGATCACTTCAATTTTCCATCAAAAAATCGATTTTATATGAAAAAACTAAAATCGGCTCTAGTTCTTAAACAACGCTTAAATCGAGAAATAAAGAAAATCTGTGATCACTTTCAATTTTCCATCAAAAATCGATTTTTATATGAAAAAACTAAAATCGGCTGTATTCCCTAAATAACGCTTAAATCGAGAAAATAAAGAAAATCTCTGATCACTTCAATTTTCCACTAAACATCGACTTTTATCTGAAAAAACTAAAATCGGCTCTAGTTCCTTAAATAACGCTTAAATCGAGAAAATAAAGAAAATCTGTGATCACTTCAATTTTCCATCAAAAAATCGATTTTTATATGAAAAAACTAAAATCGGATCTAGCTCCTTAAATAACGCTTAAATCGAGAAAATAAAGAAATTCTGTGATCACTTCAATGTTCCAATCAAAACTCCATTTTTATATGAAAACTAAAATCGGCTCTAGCTCCTTAAATAACGCTTAAATCGAGAAAATAAAGAAAATCTGTGATCACTTCAATTTTCCATTAAAAATCGATTTTTATATGAAAAAAATAAAATCGGCTCTAGCTCCTTAAATAACGCTTAAATCGAGAAAATAAAGAAAATCTGTATCACTTCAATTTTCCACTAAACATCGACTTTTATATGAAAAAACTAAAATCGGCTCTAGCTCCTTAAATAGCACTTAAATCGAGAAAATAAAGAAATCTGTGGTAACTTCAATTTTCCATCAAAAATCGATTTTTATATGAAAAAAATAAAATCGGCTCTAGCTCCTTAAATAACGCTTAAATCGAGAAAATAAAGAAAATCTGTGATCACTTCAAATTTTCCATCAAAAATCGATTTTTATATGAAAAAAATAAAATCGGGCTCTAGCTCCTTAAATAACACTTAAATCGAGAAAATAAAGAAAATTTGTGATCACTTCAATTTTCCACTAAACATCGACTTTTATATGAAAAAAACTAAAAATCGGCTCTAGTTCCTTAAATAACGCTTAAATCGACAAAATAAAGAAAATCTGGGATCACTTCAATTTCCATCAAAAAATCGATTTTTATATGAAAAAACTAAAATCGGATCTAGTTCCTTAAATAACGCTTAATCGAGAAAATAAAGAAAATCTGTGATCACTTCAATGTTCCATCAAAAATTGATTTTTATATGAAAAAAAGTAAAATCGGCTCTAGTTCCTTAAATAACACTTAAATCGAGAAAATAAAGAAAATCTGTGATCACTTCAATTTTCCACTAAACATCGACTTTTATATGAAAAAACTAAAATCGGCTCTAGCTCCTTAAATAACACTTAAATCGAGAAAATAAAGAAAATCTGTGGTCACTTCAATTTTCCATCAAAAATCGACTTTTATATGAAAAAAAATAAAATCGGCTCTAGCTCCTTAAATAACGCTTAAATCGAGAAAATAAAGAAAATCTGTGATCACTTCAATTTTCCATCAAAAATCGATTTTTATATGAAAAAATAAAATCGGCTCTAGCTCCTTAAATAACACTTAAATCGAGAAAATAAAGAAAATCTGTGATCACTTCAATTTTCCACTAAACATCGACTTTTATATGAAAAACTAAAATCGGCTCTCGCTCCTTAAATAACACTTAAATCGAGAAAATTAAAGAAAATCTGTGATCACTTCAATTTTCCACTAAACATCGACTTTTATATGAAAAAACTAAAATCGGCTCTAGTTCCTTAACGTAACGCTTAAATCGAGATCACTTCAATTTTACCATCAAAAATTGATTTTTATATGAAAAAAAAATAAAATCGGCTCTAGCTCCTTAAATAACGCTTAAATCGACAAGATAAAGAAATCTGTGATCACTTTAATTTTCCTTCGAAAATCGATTTTTATTATGAAAAAACTAAATCGGCTCAAGTTCCTTAAATAACGCTTAAATCAGGAAAATAAAGAAAATCTGTGATCACTTCAATTTACCATCCAAAATCGATTTTTATATGAAAAAAACTAAAATCGGCTCTAGTTCCTTAAATAACGCTTAAATCGAGAATATAAAGAAAAATCTGCGATCACTTAAATTTTTCCTTCAAAAATCGATTTTATATTGAAAAACTAAAATCGGCTCTTGTTCCTTAAATAGCGCTTAAATCGAGAAAATAAAGAAAATCTGTGATCACTTAAATTTTCCTTCAAAAATCGATTTTATATGAAAAAAAACTAAAATCGGCTGTAGTTCCTTAATAACGCTTAAATCGAGAAAATAAAGAAAATCTGTGATCACTTCAATTTCCACTAATACATCGACTTTTATATGAAAAAACTAAAATCGGCTCTAGTTCTTTAAATAACGCTTAAATCGAGAAAATAAAGAAATCTGTGATCACTTCAATTTTCCATAAAATCGATTTTTATATGAAAAAACTAAAATCGGCTCTAGTTCCTTAAATAACGCTTAAATCGAGAAAATAAAGAAAATCTGTGATCACTTCAATTTTCCTTCAAAATCGATTTTTATATGAAAAAACTAAAATCGGCTCTAGTTCCTTAAATAACGCTTAAATCGAGAAAATAAAGAAAATCTGTGATCACTTCAATTTTCCTTCAAAAATCGATTTTTATAGAAAAAACTAAAATCGGCTCTAGTTCCTTAAATAACGCTTAAATCGAGAAAATAAAGAAAATCTGTGATCACTTCAATTTTCCATAAAATCGATTTTATATGAAAAAACTAAAATCGGCTCTAGTTCCTTAAATAACGCTTAAATCGAGAAAATAAAGAAAATCTGTGATCACTTCAATTTTCCACTAAAATCGATTTTTATATGAAAAAACTAAAATCGGCTCTAGTTCCTTAAATAACGCTTAAATCGAGAAAATAAAGAAAATCTGTGATCACTTCAATTTTCCTTCAAAAATCGATTTTTATATGAAAAAAACTAAAATCGGCTCTAGTTCCTTAAATAACGCTTAAATCGAGAAAATAAAGAAAATCTGTGATCACTTCAATTTTCCTTCAAAAATCGATTTTTATATGAAAAAAAAAATCGGCTCTAGTTCCTTAAATAACGCTTAAATCGAGAAATAAAAAAAGAAAATCTGTGATCACTTCAATTTTCCATCAAAAATCGATTTTTATATGAAAAAATAAAATCGGCTCTAGTTCCTTAAATAACGCTTAAATCGAGAAAATAAAGAAAATCTGTGATCACTTCAATTTCCATAAAATCGATTTTTATATGAAAAAACTAAAATCGGCTCTAGTTCCTTAAATAACGCTTAAATCGAGAAAATAAAGAAAATCTGTGATCACTTCAATTTTCCATAAAATCGATTTTTATATGAAAAAACTAAAATCGGCTCTAGTTCCTTAAATAACGCTTAAATCGAGAAAATAAAGAAAATCTGTGATCACTTCAATTTTCCTTCAAAAATCGATTTTTATATGAAAAAACTAAAATCGGCTCTAGTTCCTTAAATAACGCTTAAATCGAGAAAATAAAGAAAATCTGTGATCACTTCAATTTTCCAAAAATCGATTTTATATGAAAAAACTAAAATCGGCTCTAGTTCCTTAAATAACGCTTAAATCGAGAAAATAAAGAAAATCTGTGATCACTTCAATTTCCTTCAAAATCGATTTTTATATGAAAAAACTAAAATCGGCTCTAGTTCCTTAAATAACGCTTAAATCGAGAAAATAAAGAAAATCTGTGATCACTTCAATTTTCCATCAAAAATCGATTTTTATATGAAAAAAACTAAAATCGGCTTAGTTCCTTAATAACGCTTAAATCGAGAAAATAAAGAAAATCTGTGATCACTTCAATTTTCCATCAAAAATCGATTTTTATATGAAAAAACTAAAATCGGCTCTAG